TGCTTTTCCTGGCCACCTCCCTGCTCCCCAACACCTTCTTTTGTCTTTAGCTGGAGATGGTAATTAAGGTGCTGGCTTGGGCCACTTCAGGGAGTTACTCAGTTTTCCTGGGTTTCTCCCATGTATACAGGAGGAATATATGCTATTAAATTTATGTTTGTTTTTCTCCTGTTAATCTATCTTTTATTACACGGTGTGTCTCAGCCAAGAGCCTAGAAAGGTAGAGGGAAAATGATTTTTACTCCCCCACAGCAACAACTCAGTAAAAGTGACTCTTCTGTGGATGTCTACTCAGTTTTTAATGGGTCATGGTCTTTTTAGGGAGATGCAGCCATAAAGAGATGTAGGAGGTTTTGATGTCTGGGCAAAGTTTGGCTTTTCCATATTCTGAAATCAATGGTCGAAGATGTCAAAGGATGAGCCCCGAGAGAGCTTTAAACAGTTCTATAGTCTTACTGTATCTCTCAGCAAATGAATACACTAGGTAAATGCTAACAAGGATAGGGGCACATAGTACAAAAATGATTCATTATAAGAAGGGATAAGGAGTCCACTGGGTCTAAATTCATCTGGCTTTAAAACAATGCGTCCTAAATGATGTACATGTTAATTACATTACTAAAGATATTCCGAGGACTAGGGAGTTTATAGAGCAAGTCTAATTCCCATTGATCACACTCTTTGGAGGGAGAGAGGGAGGGAGGGAGAGAGAGAGACTGCACATGCAACAATTAAAATGGGTTTGAGGGGGAAGAGAGAAAAACTAGATATTTATCATTATTAACTAGTGCTAGTCTCTGAGGTAGATACTTTGCCAGTTCCCAAACTACTTCCTGATGAATGAAGGGCCATAATATTGTAATCGATCTATCTAAACATAACCATTTACAACAGGACTGTTAATGAACATTCCCTTAATGTGACAGTTTCCAAGCCAAACATTCCCTAGAAGCACAATTCTATCAATACATCAGAAGTGCTTAATATCAATGTAATTTAAAAAGCAGATGATGGCATTTCAAATTATATTGGTTCTTATTTCCTGTTCATTTAATTTTATGAGTGCCAGACACATAGTAGGTTCTTAACAATTATCATTAAATGCATGAATAAATAAATGAAGATCTTCTTTAGGACAGCACATTCAAACTAAAGTAAATCTGTTATAAAGAAAAATATAGAATCAACGGAACAAAATTGCTGGAGCTACAGCTGACCATTTTAATGAACGATAAATTAGATTTCAGGGAGTTTTGAATGGAACACATTATTGCTGCATCCTAAATTACCCAGAACATCATGTAGTTGGAGTAGAAAAATCATGTAATAGCTGCTAACGTTTACTAGATGATAAATATGTGTCAGACACTGTGATACATATTGATATATATTCATTTATTAAATCCTCATAGCTACTCTATATGGAAGGTACTATTATTATTCCCCTTTTTCACAAGAGGAATTTGAGGCTCACAGAGAATAAGGGATTTGTCCAAGATAGCACAGCTAGTCAGCAGAGAGTAGGTTTCATACAGACAGCCTTGCTCCAGAGTCCAAACCCTTAAACATTAAACTGCTTTGCTCCAGACAGTAAACATGTCCACGCTGTGAGGTCATCCAGAATTAGAGTATGGATGAAAAACTCAGCGAATGAGTAAGAAATTTAGGACTGCCTGATCGGTGCAAGAGGGGCTAGCCCAGAGGCCAGAGCACAATGCTGCTGAGTATCCATCTGGACAATTGTTTGTGTTAGAGAAACAGAAAACATAAAAATGAAAGGAAAATAAAAGGTTGGGGTTTTGGAGGGAAACTGAAGGTCAGTGTTTGATGTGTGGTCGAATCGGGTAGCAGCAATTAGGAATCTAAGCAAAGACATCTGGGTAAAAGATTCAGAGACATATATGGAATTCAATTCAATAGGCAATGGTGGAGACAAGAAATAGCACAGTAGTGAATGTTGGTCTACTCTTTGCTTTGGTTCTTTTTGGAACAAGGATCTAACCCTCAAGCTTGTCAGGCCAGGGACTAGAGTGAGGAATAAGGGGCAGGGTAGTCATACACTAATATGGCCCCATGGCCCTTGGTCTCTGTTTCACTGTATAACCTAGTTCTCTGTATAGCATGTGACATGATCCTAACTGTCCCAGTACCTTCCCTGGCTGCAGGAATCAACAACTCTGAATATTCCCAAGCAAGGATTTTCCTTTTCTTCTTTTTTTAAAAATTTATTTATTTTATTTTTGGCTGCGTTGGGTCTTCATTGCTGCACGTGGGCTTTCTCTAGCTGCAGTGAGTGGGGGCTACTCTTCGTTGCAGTGCGTGGGCTTCTCATTGCGGTGGCTTCTCTTTTTGCAGAGCACAGGCTCTAGGCGTGCGGGCTTCAGTAGTTGTGGCACGGGGGCTCAGTAGTTGTGGCATGGGGGCTCAGTAGTTGTGGCTTGCGGGCTCCAGAGCACAGGCTCAGCAGCTCAGTAGTTGTGGCGCACGGGCTTAGTTGCTCTGCGGCATGTGGGATCTTCCTGGACCAGGTCTCAAACCCGTGTCCCCTGCATTGGCAGGTGGATTCTTAACCGCTGCGCCACCAGGGAAGCCCCTCAAGCAATACAGTAACTCATCTGGTCATTACATAATTGCTAGCATGACCGCAATTCAACTCCTTCAGGGACCCTATGATCAAAGACCCAAACTATCAGCTCACATGTGCCGTGTCTTGACCTGAACCTTTCAGGGCTGGGGAACTTGCAGTTATGCGTCTGTTAACTAGAGTCCTTTGTTTTTCCCCGTAGATGGTTGGGATAGACCATTCCACACTGCTGTCATTGTGAATTGATGACTTATTTGCTGCCGCTCCCTTAAAAGGAAGGTGAACACTAACTTTAAGAGGGACTTTTGGAGAACATGACCTTGAAGAACTCTTTTTGGCTTCTTAATGCTTTTATTTTATTAAGAATAAAATGCTGTTGGCATAAATACATATTTGAAAAACACTGTGGAAGATCTAAGTATTCAAGAGTGCTCTAACATTGCCCACTACTTTCTTCTTCATGTTTGGGGAATTAGACAGTATTGGGAAAGTTTTTTCAAACAATTTCCTTGATTCCTCAGTCAATTATTTTTGTAGTACTGGAAGCTTCTGTAGCTATGGGCAACTTAACCTTAGGCCACATATGCTAAAAATAGCGTGGGGCTGTGTGCCCCTTCCTGGCTGTGTGCCTGGCTGCTAGAAGAGAGCTTTAATAACTGTATCCTCCTTGGAAACAACCCAGCTTCCGTACTTTAACTGTCACTCCTACTTTGTCCTAAAAAGAAATATATGTTGCTCAAGAGAGTAACCAGAATGGTGCACGTATTTTATCCACATAAAAGAAGAATGAATAAAAGGAACTAAAGAAGTTGAATCTAGGGAAATGAAGGCCCAGAAGGATTATGGTGACTGTCCTCAAACTTTTGAAGGGCTATTTTAGGGAAGAGAGATTAAAAGTGGGGTCAAGGAGTAGACAGACAGTAAAATAGGAATGCTTTCTAATAGTGAGGTTTTTCCAAAGATAGAATTGGCTTCCTTGAGGAGGAATGTGATCCAGTATAAGCTGACCAATCACTGAGGAAGATGTTATGGAGTAGTTCAATTACACATTTAAATTGCTTCCAACCGTGAGAAGCTATTTCTGTCCTTTTATATGTATAATATTTCTACTCTAAATCCCTTTATTGACTGAATATATGTGTTAAGCTAGAGAAACAAACAATCATATTGCTTACTAACTGCTGCTTACCTTTTCCCTCTGTTAACATCCCCCCAAAAGTAAAGTATTTTAATATTATAGTCACCTTGACAACAGAAGTGTCTGTTTTAATAGCTTTCAGTAACATTATTCAAAGAGAATCTATTGTCCACTAAAGTGAGGGGAACAGTCTTCGGCATTCTCTTTCTTTTCCAACCTCAAAGAGTTTAGGATTAAACATGTGCTTTGAAATTAAAATCACTGTGAATTTGCTGAGTAAGAGAACATCCAGAAAGTTTTCACTTCGCATAATGTAGAAAAATTATATTTTTCTCTGCGATGTACATGAAAAGTTTCAGCAACTAAAAGGCATGGCTCAAATTTTACAATCGTCTATAATTTCAAACAATTCAATATCTATTTATATATGTTTTATCCCTGCGTGTAAGGCGTTGGGGTTGCCATGGAATCAGATTTAGTGAATTGCTATTCATGAATAATAACTGACAAATAATTCACTAGCGAATTATTATTAATCATGGGAGGATATTACACATGTGAAACTTATCCAAGGCAGAAAAAAACGTTAAAAAGAACTACAATGGGGAATCCACTGGACATAATTCTTACACTCAAGGAACAACCTTCCAATAAGGAGCACAATCTTTGACTTAAAACTGTCCTGGTTATTTTTAATTGGTTTGCCTATTTCTAATAATAAAGAGTAGCATCTAACTAAATACTTCCTGTGTGCAGGCTCCATGCCAAGCTCTTCACATTTATTGTCTTCTTTCATCCTTAAAACACACTGAAGAGTTGATATTATTATTTTCCCCATTCCATATTATCAGGAAACTGAAGCTTAAGGAAGTTAGATATCATTCCTAAGGTTATATAGTTGGTATTAAAACAGAGCAAGGGGGAATTCCCTGGTGGTGCAGCGGTGAAGAGTCCCCGCTTCCACTGCAGGGGGAATGGGTTCAATCCCTGGTGGGTTTGATCCCTGGTTCAAGAACTAAGATCCCGCATACCATGAGGCTTGGCCAAAACAAACAAACAAACCAACAAAAAAACAGAGCAAGGAATCTGAGTTTGACTCTAGTGTATGAACTAGTCACCTACCTGCTGTGTTACAAGTTTTGATGGCCCTAATGCTAATGTAATTATTTCATTTAGGATAAATTTACGTAAAAACAATTTAAAAACTTTTTGCTTCCCAATTACTTCCCTTCCATTAAAGGTTAAGTCAATCACTCAAGCTTAGAAGGTTACACTCACCCCGTTTGTGAAGGAGAACACTGGCATGCCGACGTCCATTTCCATTTTCAACATAACAGGAGTAATTTCCCAAGTCACCTTCTTCTACAGAGTCCACAATTAATGAGATGGAAACTTCCTGTTCCCCAAGATGCTCCTTGAGGATTCTAAAATATAAAGCGAAACAAAACAAAAAACCCCACACAAACATACACATACATGAAAAAGAAAAACATTTAGATGAATCTGAATCTGATGTGAAAAAACCTACAGCATCTGTGCTTCAAATTTGGTCATGGATTAATGCTATCTTAATTAAATTACATCATGCCCTTTTCTTCTTCACTTCTAATAAGGAAGCTTGTCTCTGTAGATGCTAATGAAGTTGCAGTTAATTATCTCTCTTAGCAGGACAATCACACTATCATAATAAAGAGGTGAGAGAGACCTTGAAGAAAAGTTTACAAATTGCTTTCCCTTTAAGAAGAAATATGATGTAAGGGTGAGATAAGAAATTCTAATGTCTTCGGCTGGAGGACTAATTATCTACCAGGTTAATTTAAAAAAATAAAAGGAAGAATAGAAAATTTCTGAGCTATTTTGACATTTCAATTGAAACCTCTAGCCTGGCTTTTTTTTTTAATGGTGCAAATCAATTCCTATTTTAAAAGAAACATGAAATTACAAAACTGTAGACTAAATGTTCTGATGAAGTGTTTAATTCTGACATTTAAAATTAATGGTAAACGCTCACTAATCTCAATGTCAAGGATTTTAGCAATCTTTTTAGAACAAATGGAAAACTTCAAAGTAAGCCTCTCTTTCCTTGCTCACAACGTTTCCACCTCTACCCTCCCACCTGCTTGGTAACTCATCTCTGCACAATACTTCCTAATGCAGAATTAAAGAAAAATACCTTTCTAGAACATTCCCTGAGCACCCACAACAGGAGAGAGGGGAAAAGTTAGGAGGTTTATTATCCTTCTTTAACCTTAGCATTTCAGAGTGTATGGGTATGAGAAAATAGTGAAGTTTTGAACATGAGAAATGGCAGAGGAACATTTTAGTACATATTGGAGAATTGCTCATCTGGGCATTTCAGAACGCAACTGCAGTGCAATATTCTTGTGTATTTGTTGCCAGGAAGAAAATTCCAGTAGAAATAATCTTATATGACAGTTCTATAGGTTTTTATTTTCTATCGAAAAACCTTTTCTCTTATACCTTTCATCAGGTTGTAAAAGTCTTCATATTTAAGAAGAAGAATTTAGTTAAGCTGCTCATATATACCCAGAAGAGGCGATCTTTAGATGGGAGAATGTTTACAACTGATCAGTATTTTGATTCACTTATAGCTTATTTATTAATATATTTGCCAATTTACATTATGATTAAAAATGAGTATCTGTGTATAAGCCTACTTTGGGTCATAATTGAATACCTCAATATTTAAAAGTAAATGAACAAATACATTAACTTTTTTTTAAAAAAGAAGCAAGAGGCTTAAGCATGATGCCCTCAAAACCGATTGTATTTTAATTATTCACTATTATTCCCACTATATTAATGTTTAGACCTTAAAGTCAGACTAAAAAAAGGTGATAAAAACAGTTTTTGTATCCTTTATCATTCCTATCAAGTGCTTTATAGTCAACATGATGCCTAAAATATGTAAAAACATATAAAAGGAAGTTAGAAAGATTGCGTTTGGTTGAATCCTAGAAAACTGTTAATATCTTCTCTCAACAATTAAGAAAAAGAGCTCTTATAAACCGAAGGCATAATATCACATTTTCCATGGTTTTTTTTAAAACATCTTTATTGGAGTATAATTGCTTTACAATGGTGTGTTAGTTTCTGCTTTATAACAAAGTGAATCAGCTATACATATACATATATCCCCATATCCCCTCCCTCTTGTGTCTCCCTCCCACCCTCCCTATCCCACCCCTCTAGGTGGTCACAAAACACCAAGCTGATCTCCCTGTGCTATGCGGCTGCTTCCCACTAGCTATCGGTTTTACATTTGGTAGTGTATATATGTCCATGCCACGCTCTCACTTCGTCCCAGCTTACCCTCCCCACTCCCCGTGTCCTCAAGTCCATTCTCTACGTCTGCGTCTTTATTCCTGTTCTGCCCCTAGGTTCTTCAGAACCTTGTTTTGTTTTTGCTTTTTTTTAGATTCCATATATATGTGTTAGCATACAGTATTTGTTTTTCTCTTTCTGACTTACTTCGCTCTGTAGGACAGACTCGAGGTCCATCCACCTCACTACAAATAACTCAATTTCGTTTCTTTTTATGACTGAGTAATATTCCATTGTATATATGTGCCACATCTTCTTTATGCATTCATCTGTCAATGGACACTTAGGTTGCTTCCATGTCCCGGCTATTGTAAATAGAGCTACAGTGAACATTGTGGTACATGACTCTTTTTGAATTCTGTTTTTCTCAGGGTATATGCCCAGTAGTGGGATTGCTGGGTCATATGGTAGTTCTATTTGCAGTTTTTTAAAGAACCTCCATACTGTTCTACATAGTGGATGTATCATCTGATCTCAGACATTTTCCATGTTTGATGCTATTTTGGTCTGTCTCACACTCAGTTTATTCCTTAGTGAAAAACTCCTTTTTAATTCTCTTAAATTCTTTGCAAATGGCACTCCTGTTTGACAAATTCATAGTCACTCTCTCAAGAGTATTTTGCCTCTTTGCCACTAAATGTTGCAATATTTTTATTATAATAGTAAAACCCTCCCCCAAACCCCTTCTTTTCTTTTAGTTCACTTTCTATTCACTAAGAGAACAAAAGTTAATCTCGATTGTACAAGTTAAAAGACAAAAATTACTTTACCTAATGTCACTTTCCCAAACTCGATTTTCATCCAGATCTTCAATAAACTTCTCTCCTTTCATCCAGTATATTAAAGGACTGACATCTCCACTGTACCCAAAGAAAGCTCTGCAGGTTAGATTAGCTGAATCGCCTGTTGAGAGAAGTGATGAAAATGTGTTATAAAACTGTTTGTACACTCTTATTTTAGGCAAAGTGGCAGGTAACATTTTAATCACTTCATTGTTTTAATGAAACATCTTTCTAAAGTCACATGTTTCAGATGTTTTCTATCTTCGTCAATTCATGTGGGCTTTTGACAGCTTATTTAGTGGAAAGTGATTTACTTATAAGATTCTGAAGAACACTGGTTGGTTATTTCATAGAAGGTTCTTCCATTTAAGTTTGCCTGATTTTTCCACATGATTAAATTGAGGTTATGAATTATTGGGAATGGTACCATGGAGGTGACGTGCCCTTCTCAAAGCACGATATCAGACAGTACATAATGTTGATAATATAAGATTTTATAAAGCAGGTAGAAGATGTTTCTCAGTCCGGAATGTGGAAAACAGAAAGAGAACAAAATCTTTTCATGGGAAAGAAATGAAATTGTAAAATGCAGGATCCCCTAAAAATGTTATTAAAATATTTGTACTATATGAGGAATAGTATTTTAATTAAGGAAACCAACACATGCTCAGGTAAAAAAGCGCATTAAAATACAAATGAACAACTCCTGAGAATATTTGGGATGTTTATAAGATGTAAAATCAATACTACTACTGTGGAGATGAGTTTCTTCCAATATGCTACTCAAGAGAGACCACTATAAGGGTGAATACAGATTGGTTGATTACTTAATAAGGTAAGTGGAGGTCCCTGACTGAAAAGTGGAAGCGAATTTAATGTCTGCAGAAAATAAGGCGTATTTCTGGACAGGTAATGTGATTGTGCAAACACCTGGTTTCCCCAAGCCTCAGGCGGCATTAGAGAACTGAAATATACCAGTACCATTATAGTTTTAAGATCTTGCTGTCTCCAACTAGAGCTAGAAAATGCGGGGTGGGATAGAGACCTGTAGAGACCTACTCCAGCTTAGACTGGAGCAGGGGAACTCACAAGGATGAGGACTACATGAAGGGCTGAAAACTAGGCTCCAGGGATACCTTTATAGGCATCTGAAGTAAGGAAACTTGCTTCATTTCATAAATTCCTGAGAATATTCTAGAGGACTCTGACAACTCTGACTTTAAGGCGAAGAGAATGAGGTTCCTAAAGACTGAAAGCCTCACAGCTAAGCTATGAGTTAATAGTGCACACCTCGTGAAACAGGGCTTACAAGTGATTCTACAATATGAACCCAGAGCAAAGCACAATGCAGTTACAGATGCATTCTTTCTAAGTCCTGGTATGGGTAAACCTATATGTAAAATTTATTCTTCAAGTTCCACAACAAGAAAATTTTTATTGGATAAAATTCGTATTATTATTTTACTTATGTCCACTGTGTAAGAATAGTTCATAACTAAGTTCTTGCTGTTCTAATATTTCTAAGATGCATGATATAGCCTTTCCTTTTATGTTATACTTGTTTATGTCTGAATGTTCTCCAACTAAGTGATTCCTTATGGACTTTGATTCTGTATACAATAACCGTTATTAGTGACCAGATAAGTCAAGTCCAGAAAATGTCTACAAACTTTTAAGAGGCAAAATGCAGCTTTTTTTTTTTTTTTTGCTGTACGCAGGCCTATCACTGCTGTGGCCTCCCCTGCTGTGGAGCACAGGCTCTGGACGCACAGGCTCAGTGGCCATGGCTCACGGGCCCAGCCGCTCCGCAGTATGTGGGATCTTCCCGGACCGGGGCACGAACCTGTGTTCCCTGCGTCGGCAGGCGGACTCTCAACCACTGCGCCACCAGGGAAGCCCAAAATGCAGCTTTAAATAGGTTCCTTTACTATGAATTTTTTTTGTTTGTTTCTTTAAAATTTAACCTTCTTTCATCTTTTTTTTAATACAGCAGGATCTTATTAGTCATCAGTTTTATACACATCAGTGTATACATGTCAATCCCAATCGCCCAATTCAGCACACCACCATCTCCACACCCCCGTGTCTTTCCCCCTTAATGTGTCCATACGTTTGTTCTCTACATCTGTGTCTCAACTTCTGCCCTTCAAGCCGGTTCATCTGTACCATTTTTCTAGGTTCCACATACATGCGTTAATATACGATATTTGTTTTTCTCTTTCTGACATACTTCACTCTGTATGACAGTTTCTAGATCCATCCAGGTCTCAACAAATGACTCAGTTTCATTCCTTTTTATGGCTGAGTAATATTCCATTGTATATACGTACCACTTCTTCTTTACCCATTTATCTGTCAATGGGCATTTAGGTTGCTTCCATGACCTGGCTATTGTAAATAGTGCTGCTGTGAACAATGGGGTGCATGTATCTTTGTGAATTATGGTTTTCTCTGGATATATGCCCAGTAGTGGGATTGCTGGATCATATGGTAATTCCATTTTTAGTTTTTTAAGGAACCTCCATACTGTTCTCCATAGTGGCTGTATCAATTTACATTCCCACCAACAGTGCAAGAGGGTTCCCATTTCTCCACACCCTCTCCAGCATTTGTTGTTTGTAGATTTTCTGATGATGCCCATGCTAACTGGTGTGAGGTGATACCTCACTGTAGTTTCAATTTGCATTTCTCAAATCATTAGTGATGTTGAGCAGCTTTTCATGTGCTTCTTGGCCATCTGTATGTCTTCTTTGGAGGAATGTCTATTTAGGTCTTCTGCCCATTTTTGGATTGGGTTGTTTGTTTCTTTAACACTGAGCTGCATGAGCTGTTTATATATTTTGGAGATTAATCCTTTGTCCGTTGATTTGTTTGCAAATATTTCCTCCCATTCTGAGGGTTGTCTTTTCGTCTTGTTTATGGTTTCCTTTGCTGTGCAAAAGCTTTGAAGTTTCATTAGGTTCCATTTGTTTATTTTTGTTTTTATTTCCATCACTCTACGAGGTGGATCAAAAAAGATCTTGCTGTGATTTATGTCAAAGAGTGTTCTTCCTACGTTTTCCTCTAAGAGTTTTATAGTGTCTGGTCTTACATTTAGGTCTCTAATCCATTTTGAGTTTATTTTTGTGTATGGTGTTAGGGAGTGTTCTAATTTCATTCTCTTACATGTAGCTGTCCAGTTTTCCCAGCACCACTTATTGAAGAGACTGTCTTTTCTCCACTGTATATCCTTGCCTCCTTTGTCATACATTAGTTGACCATAGGTGCGTGGGTTTATCTCTGGGCTTTCTATCTTGTTCCATTGATTAATGTTTCTCTTTTTGTGCCTGTACCATATTGTCTTGATTACTGTAGCTTTGTAGTATACTCTGAAGTCAGGGAGCCTGATTCCTCCATCTCTGTTTTTTTCCCTCAAGACTGCTTTGGCTATTCGGGGTCTTTTGTGTCTCCATACAAATTTTAAGATTTTTTTTCTAGATCTGTAAAACATGCCATTTGTAATTTGATAAGGATTGCACTGAATCTGTAGATTGCTTTGGGTAGTATAGTCATTTTCACAATATTGATTCTTCCAATCCAAGAACATGGTACATCTCTCCATCTGTTGGTATCATCTTTAATTTCTTTCATCAGTGTCTTATAGCTTTCTGCGGACAGGTATTTTGTCTCCCTAGGTAGGTTTATTCCTAGGTATTTTATTCTCTTTGTTGCAATGGTAAATGGGAGTGTTTCCTTAATTTCTCTTTCAGATTTTTCATCATTAGTGTATAGGAATGCAAGAGATTTCTGTGCATTAATTGTGTATCCTGCTACTTTACCAAATTCATTGATTAGCTCTAGTAGTTTTCTGGTGGCATCTTTAGGATTCTCTATGTATAGTATCATGCCATCTGCAAATAGTGACAGTTTTACTTCTTCTTTTCCAATTTGGGTTCCTTTTATTTCTTTTTCTTCTCTGATTGCCGTGGCTAGGACTTCCAAAACTCTGTTGATTAACAGTGGTGAGAGTGGACATCCTTGTCTTGTTCCTGATCTTAGAGGAAATGGTTTCAGTTTTTCTCCATTGAGAATGATGTCTGCTGTGGGTTTGTCGTATATGGCCTTTATTATGTTGAGGTAGGTTCCCTCTATGCCCACTTTCTGGAGAGTTATTATCATAAATGGGTGTTGAATTTTGTCAAGAGCTTTTTCTGCATCTATTGAGATGATCATATGGTTTTTCTCCATCAGTTTGTTAATATGGTGTATTACATTGATTGATTTGCGCATACTGAAGAATCCTTGCATCCCTGGGATAAATCCCACTTGATCATGGTTTATGATCCTTTTAACGTGTTGTTGGATTCTGTTTGCTAGTATTTGGTTGAGGATTTTTGCATCTATATTCACCAGTGATATTGGTCTATACTTTTCTTTTTTTGTAGTATCTTTGTCTGGTTTTGGTATCAGGGTGATGGTGGCCTCAGAGAATGAGTTTGGGAGTGTCCCTTCCTCTGCAATTTTTTGGAAGAGTATGGGAAGGGTGGGTGTTAGCTCTTCTCTAAATATTTGATAGAATTCACCTGTGAAGCCATCTGGTCCTGGACTTTTCTTTGTTGGAAGATTTTTTTTTCTTTTTTTTTTTTTTGCGGTATGCGGGCATCTCACTGTTGTGGCCTTTCCCGTCGCAGAGCACAGGCTCCGGACGCGCAGGCTCGGCGGCCATGGCTCACGGGCCCAGCCACTCCATGGTATGTGCGATCTCCCCGGACTGGGGCATGAATCCGTGTCCCCTGCATCGGCAGGTGGACTCTCAACCACTGCGCAACCAGGGAAGCCCCTGTTGGAAGAATTTTAATCACAGTTTCAATTTCATTACTTGTGATTGGTCTGTTCATATTTTCTATTTCTTCCTGGTTCAGTCTTGGAAGGTTATACCTTTCTAAGAATTTGTCCATTTCTTCCAGGTTGTCCATTTTATTGGCATAGAGTTGCTTGTAGTAGTCTCTTAGGATGCTTTGTATTTCTGCAGTGTCTGTTGTAACTTCTCCTTTTTCATTTCTAATTTTATTGATTTGAGTCCTCTCCCTCTTCTTGATGAGTCTGGCTAATGGTTCATCAATTTTGTTTATC